AATTTTGGTCAATGACATGAGACAAAGTATATGTGAACTGCTGTATGAAAAGTGAATTTACTCTGTAAATCTTCACCCAAATCCTAATTAAAAAAAAAAAAATATATATATATATATATATATATGTCAAGCCCAGCTCAAAGGCTACCCCCACGCCAAAGTCTTCCTGGTCCTCAACAATTAACTGTTACTCTGACAGTTCTATTTAACCTGTATTTCACCTAGCCTCATGTCAGTTGGCTGTTTACTTGTCTGTCTTCCGCACTAGACCATGCTCCCCACTAGACTAATGCCTCACCCATTGTGGATGCTCAGCAAAGTCTGAGTGAACTTTCTGTATTCATCTTTCTGCAAAGGAAGGAGCAACAGATAATCGGAACCCACTGCAGGCTAGGCTTCAATGTCCTCCATTTTCTAAGAGAAGAGCATGAGCAGGGGTGAGGGACAGTACAGAATCGAAGGGAAGGCCAGGCCCCAGTGAGGACAACATGGAAAACTTACCCCAAACCAAACCCACTGCCATTGAGTTGGTTCCAACTCATAGCGACTCTATAGTACAGAGCAGAACTGCCCCATAGGGTTTCCAAGGCTGTAAATCTTTACGAAAGCAGACTGCCTCATCTTTCTTCTGCAGAGCAGCCAGTGGGTTCAAACTGCTGGCCTTTTGGTTAGCAGCCAAATGCTTTAACCACTGTTTCACCAGGGTTCCTGGCACACTTACAGGCGCTCCTTTTCACGGACGGCCAGGTGCAGCTCCTCCTGCTGCTCCTCTTTCTCCCCCTGAGCAGAGTCCCCCTGCAGCTGAAGCTCCATGTTTGCCCTTCGCAGTCGCCAAGCCTCCTGCTCCAGCACTTCCAGTTGCTGCTGCAGCCCTTCCCTGGCCTTCTCCAGGAGCTCTCGCTCCCTGGAAGAACAGAGAAGCAGATGAGCACAGACCTTGCGACTCAAAATCCTTCCTAAAAGCAGATATCATGGGGTCAAAGGAAAGAGGTGCTAGTTTTCTTTAAATATCTCATCTTCCCTTTTGGGTGGGAAACCTTTTCTATAACCATCAAGAGCTAGCACTGAGTGGCAAGAACAAGCAGCAGCCAAAGCCCGGCAGCCCTGAGTGGCCCTGGGTCTCAGGGAGGGCAGAGTCAGCCGACTGAAAGCACAATGGGAGTGGACTGAGACCAGAGCTGGAGGCTGGAGGAACCGCCTGATGCTCACTTGCTGAGAGAGTCCACCTCTCCCTGGAGGTCCACAGTTTGCCCTGCCAGGGTGTCCCGCTCCCCAGTGAGCATCTGTAGCCGCTGTCGCAAGGCCTCGCCCTCTTCCTCCCACTGCTCATGCTGCTGCTGCAAGAAGCTCATAGCTTCCTGACAGCCAGAAAGCTGCTGCCTCAGGTCCTACGGAGAGAGAGAAACATAAACGGAGAGATGGGCCAAAGAAAAAGGGGAAAGTAGAGATGCCACCAGCCCCAATGCAAGGCTGGGCAAGTGGGCTGGTGCAGCAAGGGTAAGCTGAGAAAAGATATCACAAGTTGAGGAAACAAAAGATGAGAGGTTACTGGCCTTCTGTGGCTCCTATAGTCTAAGAGTTCATTATCTACAACTGTTTTGTGGCCCGGGGGCTCTGGGAAAGCACAGGGGTACAGTGACATGGGGGAAAGTGTTGCTGTGACCCTCAGAGTGAGGGAACACTTACCCATGCTCTCCCAGCACTCTGGCTGCAATGTCTGCACAGTGGTATGTGGCATGCACCACTGGCATGGAGACTGTGTCTGTTATCCACAAGCACAATTGGGCAGACACAGACAGATTCTAACGAGCCTTCTGGGATGCTAACAAAGCAACTCAACAAAGTGAAAGGGCCAGTCCAGGCGGGGGGCTACCTGGGACACAAATAAGTTTAGATACCCCTCCTGTGGCTGAGGAGCAGCGCTAGGGATTCTCACCTGCACGGCCTGGCGTCTCCGGGTCAGCACTGAACGCACTAGAGTAAGAGCCTTGTCTGGGTCCTGAGGGTCAAGCTGGGAGAAGAAGCCACTGGAGTCCAACTCCAAGGAGCTCTCATGACCACAGCCTTGGGCCATATTGTCCCTTTCTTCCACCATGGCCTGAAACCCAACACAGGGCATCACTACCCTACTGACTAAGACCTAGAGTCATAGAGAGGACTTAGTCTACAACCTGGACACACCAGATGTCTTCCTTCTCAACTCCTCTCTGTAGGCATTAGGAGTGGGGGGTTTCAGGGCAAAAAAGCCTGGTTCCTTCAGCTCTCCACTTTTGGTTCCCCAAACCTAGGCCTAGCAACAGGGACAGAACACTCCCTGATACAATAACAAATGACGTAAGGAAGACAGAGGAGGGTAGTGAGTTATGGAGGCCAGAATCCAACCTCTGGCATGAGAACTATAACTGACAACAGGAACGAGGTACTGTCTAGACATGAAAGCATAGCTACCCTCTCATTTAGGGTTCCAATCTTTAAATACACTCAAAGAACTCACCCCCATAAGTCCCTAAGCCCAAACACGTACAGACAGTAGAAATCCAGGCATGACTGAGAGGAGAGTAATGAGGTAGAATCTGGAACAAGAGGCTCACCAGTACCTGGGTTATATCCTTGATCACCTGCTGTAAAGACAGCTTCTCCTCTTGGGCATTCCTACTAAGAGATGCCTCATGTTCCATTAATTCTGTATGATTTGTCTCCTGAACAGGGAACAAAGCAGAGTCTATGAGCCAAACTCTCAGAAAAGAATTTATAATTCCTAGTCCCACACTAACTAAAGTTTCAATCTGTCTATTCCATCAGCTCTGTTTTTTTCACGGACCACACATGAACCCTAATGCTGTCCTCAAGAGTCTTCAGCCAGTGATTAAGAGTTCAGATTAAGTCATTAAGAGCTCCACACTAGTCACCCTAGATTCGAGCTCTCTCACTTTCTAGCTTGGTAACCTTAGGCAACTGCTTCTTTGAGTGTTAGTTTTCTTCTCTTTAAAATAGGGATAATACCCACTGAAAATCACTAACATCAGGGTAGACATGTTAACTTGAGCGAAGGGAAAAGCAATACACAGTAAGAGAAAGGTCAACACAAAATGATCAAGGCAGTGGAATAAATAGAAAGGAGCACAAGCATTAAAGGCAACAAAGGTGAATACTATTATATACACAATCCTACAATAACAGTAACAAAAAGAATCTACACATGGATACATAGACACACAAGCTGAACAGGAGTGGGAAGGTGAATGGGATTAAAAAAATCAAATAAAATAAGAATAAGAATAGCAACTACTTCATAGATTCACAGATTTGTTCTCAGGTTTAACTTAACCAACGCATTAAAATTACTCAACCCAGTGCCCGGCATAAAGCAAGGGCTCAATAAATATGAGTTATTATTGCATGGGGAGATGGTTGCTGTCTCTGCACAGCAAAGTGATGCTTGGGGCCTACGAATAAACCAGAGAAACCTCTGGCCCCAAAGCTAGAAACAGACTCAAGATTTCCTCTCTACCTACCTATGTTTGTGTTGGGGAAGGCCTAAGGACATAGGGCACCCCAAAGGCCCAGTCTGGCCTACAGCTATGTTTTGTTTCGTCTACACCAAATCTAAGGAGCCCTCGTGGTGCAACAGGTAAGCACTGGGCTGCCAACCAAAAGGAGAAAGATGTCTGCAGGAGAAAGACCTGTAGTCTGCTTCCACAGAGATCACAGCCAAGAAAATCCTAGGGGGTAGTTTTACTCGGTCACCTGGGGTCGCCATGAACCAGAACTGACTCAACAGCATCCAACAGCAATAACATAAAATCAGAAGCTACATTCAAAAAGTGAGATAATTTGCATAAAAATTTGAATTTTTGTCTTCTCTCAAAATCTTCACAAATGGACTATATCCAGCCCCCATTCCTACACAGCAACAGTTAACTGAAGCTGCAAAGTGGACGTCTCCTTTAGATGAGACATGCATTCTCAGCTTCCTGCAGTCCCTTCCACACCTCCGTGTTTCCTCAATACTGAGGTCAAGAGTCCCCTGCAGTGTTGAAAGCTCAGCACCAGAAAACCAGATTCTTCCAGGGGAGCCACTTCACTCCTTCATATTACCTAGGCCCTACAGACATCTGAATTTGCAAATTCCTGCCCCCAAATCAACCAAATAGGCAAAAATAAGTCTGGTTCCCAGCTGATCCCAGCTTGGATGAGAAGATTATATGGGTGTACATGTGGACAGGGGTTCAGGATCCACCTAAATTCAGAGATCTGAAAATTCTTAGCAATGAAAGGAAACTTGGAATCAAGCCAGAGGTTCTAATAGCCAGTCTCAGAGAATCACTTTGACAACAGTCCTGGCAGATGTTAAGCCAGTGACATAAACCTCATTCATTCATAAGACAGACTGCTCAACTACTAAACGGCTCTAATTAATCAAAATCGGCCACTCTGGAACTTCTAGTTCTTGACGCTGGTTTTGCTCACGTAGAAAACATTAAACAAGGCCACTCTCTTTCCCTCAACATCAGTCTTTCAGTTACGTGAAGGCAGCCATCAAGCTCTTCCTCCAGTCCTTTCTTCTCCAGGTTCAACACTGCTATACCCCTCAATTTTCCATGACAACATTTTGAATCTCTCTGCACATTCCTGGTGACTCACTAGGCTGCCCACGTGCTTCTTAATGAATGTGAGTGTCACTTCTCTCCAATAAGGACACACTGCATGCATACATACACAGGGATCTAGTAGGGATAGCAGACTGTTAATATTTGTTAGGCGAATAAATGAATGAGTTAGTTAACTATCAGATTCAGCCACTATTAATTTTTTTTTTTTACGTCAGGGGATTTCACAGAGGAACATTTAACTGGTACCCTGCACTACCCATCTGTAAAGGGGAAGGGAACCTACAAGCCCATTCCCAATTCCTTTCCAGAACAAAGGATCATATACCAGGATCTCCATTGTCTCTCTTAGAGCCTTTACCATCTTTTCATACTCTTCATTTTGCTTCTGAGACTGGGTCAGCAGAGCAGAGAGCTCGGTTACCCTAAAGAGAAGAGCACAGCACCGTCACCTGGGCCACTCACTCACTGCTGTGGTTAGAGCTCCTATGTAGCACACTTCAGTCCCAACACAGACACTCCCACTCCCACTGCAGCCTTCCCAGAGACCATCAGTGCCCACAGCCCCTCTGCACACCACATGATGCTATAGCCTGAACTGGGGGGAAGCCAAAAGCCACTCAGAACACATGCAGGGATTTACCACATCTCAAGGCTGGAACATGTGTTTGGGGACCCGAGGGCTGAAGGGAAGCCCTGGCCCAGGCCCTTCCAGGCCCCACTTGATCTTGAAGTCAAGTACCCTGAAGCCAATAAAAACATCAGAATTGCCCCATGGAATAGTCCCAAGGTCCCTCCAGCCCAAGGTTCTGACTTGGATAGGGGAAAAGGAGGGACAATTTGGAGGAGATCACGGTCTAGCTTCCTGATACTAAGCTCAAAGTTCAGAAATATAGCCAAATAGCTTTATCACTTAACACTACGTCTTGGAGCTCAGTGTCTGGTATTACGTGGGTAGCTAAATCAATATTTATTGAATGACAGTCATGTTTTGGGAAAGTCTTAATATTTTTATCCCTTACTAGCTGTAAGAGACTATCTTAGAATAAAGCTCTAAAAGCCTTAATTGTATGGTCATTCAATTATTGCATCATTCAACACTTATTGCCATGTCTTTTATATGGCAGGTGAATGCAAAGCATTAGAAACATAAAACTCACTAAGTCATGGCCTTTGCACTTGTACTACTCAGTGCCTCCATGACCAAAAAACAAAAGCAAAACCCCTGTAATTTATTGACACTGCCAGCAGGTGGTGACACAGCCCTACCCATGGGGGATAAATTGAACTCTGGACTAAGATTCAAATGGGGCTCTCTGCTTAAGTCCATGCCCATTTCATTATCATTTTTTAAACACTTGACTGCTAACCAGAAGGCTGGCAATTCAAACCCACCAGCCACTCCTTGGAAAGATGGTAAGGCGATCTACTTCTGTAGTGATACGGCCTTGGACACCCAAGGAGGGGTTGCTATGAGTCGGGTCAGACTCAACAGCACATAACAACAAACATTTTATTTGAAATTGTTCTTCTGGTGGTGCACTGGTTAAGCACTTGGCTGCTAATTGGAAGTTCAAACCCACCAGCAGCTTCACAGGAGAAAAAACTGCACAATCAGTTCCCATAAAGATTGTAGCCTAAGAAATCCTAGGGAGCAGGTCTACATGTATAGGGTGTTATCAGTCGGAAACAAATAGATGGCACACAACAACAAAAACAGCCTAACCAAAGAAAAGAAGGGGGGAAGGGACTACATACTCAGTAAGATAAAACTGATGCTGTAACAAACAGGCTGAAGGACCACAAGGGCAGAGTAATAATAGATCAGTTCTGCCTATCGTGCTCAGAAAAGGCTTCATAGAGGAGGTGGCACTTGAACTATGCCTTAAAGAATAAGGCAGAGAGAGAAAGGAAGGAGGCACTCCAGGTTAAAGGTCAGCACAGGAAGGCAGGGGAGCATGGAAGAGCTTGGCTGCTCAGGCAATGGCCAGTGGTTTGGTGTTGACAGAACAAACATGGAGGCATAGCTGGTTCTGTAAGTCAACAGGACAGGAAATGAGCTGCAGGATAATCTGAGGGCAGGGGCTAGTGACATGTCCCAACTGGTTTCCAACTGACTCCCTCTGGCACATCTCCTTCTCCTCTCACTGTAGGAAGGCTGCTGGCATCAATACCGCCTGTGCCTGAATCCCTGAAGGAGTCAGCTCACCCTCATGAGCTCTTCCTAGAACCCCTCTTACCGGTCCTGAAGCTCGGCCTTCTCCAGATCCCTTTGACTCTTCAGGTGTATTAACTCTTGGTTCTTCTCATGGGCTTCCTTCTCCAGCTCCTGAGTCTTGGCTAGGAGCTCCAGCAGCTGGGCCGGCTCACTCTCTTCCAGTTTCCCAGGTCCATCGGACTCCCAAGACTGTGTTCCCACAGTTAGGCGCAGACAACAGGTCAGCAGGGACCCTGAAAGCCTCATGTGCTCAGCCTTTAGCTCCGTCAGGTCTCTGAAAACAAGCAAGGAAGAGAGCATACTCCAAAAGGAGACAGGGAAGGGAACATAGAAGTCAGGCTCAATGAGACCTGAGGGATATGTCTGGGAAAAATCATCTGAATCTAAAAATTCTCCATCCAAAAACCACCATTTGTCATTGAGTCAATTCTGACTCACAACAACCCCATGTGCATCAGAGAACCGGGCTCCACAGGATTTTCAATGGCTAGTTTTTTGGAAGTAGACTGCCAGGCCTTTATTCCAAGACACCTCTGGGTACACTCAACTCCTGCACCTTTCAGTTAACAGCTGAACGTATTAAACATTTACGTGACTCAGGAACTCACATTTAGCCATCAAGTACCCCAAATAAAGCTAATCTCTCTAATGCCCTCTTTATACCATGTCTTCCCACCAACTCTTTCCTCTCCCCTCCCTACTGCCCTGATGCCTCCTTCCACAGCAGCCCACCATCATAAATCCAGAATTGGTAGGGGCAACCTCCTCCCTTCTTATCTCCACACTGACCTGTCAGTGGCTGACTTCATTTCCAGGAAGTGGCGTCGAAATGTCACCACTGCCCTCCATAGGCCGAGAAGGCGACTATGCTCCCCTTTCAGGTAGCCCTTGAAGAACTGTGTGTTTAGAAACCTGAGTCAATCAAGCTCAATTGACATAACATACTACACAAAATATTGTTCCATCTCCTACTTTGGCGAGTAGCGACTGAGATCTTAAAAGCTTGCAAACTGCCATCTAGATGCAACGATGGGTCTCTCCTCGTCCAGAGCAAAGAATGAAGAAAACCAAATATTCATAGAAACAATTAGTCCTAGCGACAGGTGCACCATGCAATCTGCAGCCTATACAACTATGAGACCAGAAGAACTAGATGGTGCCCGGCTACCACTGTCAACCACTTGGAGGATGATCTATGGAGGAGATCCTGGATACAGAGGGAAAACAATGTGGAACAAAACTCAAAATCATATGTGAAAATAAAAAGGGGGCACCAGGTTTGCTGGTCTGATAAAGCCTGGTGGAACCACTGAGGCTAGGGCCCCTGGCTGCCCTTCAGGTCTGGAATTGAACATTTACCTGAGGTAGATACACTCCTTGGAGAGAACAATCATGGGAGACAGAAGGGCTGTGTATGCACAGGAAGACAGCTCAGGGGGCAGGAGTGCATGGAGGGATGGACACAGGGAAGAGGTGACTATCAGGAGGAAGTGGGAGGGGAGCTGTTGCATTGTGGTGAATTGTGGTCAATGTCATGAGACAAAGTGTATGTGAACTGCTGTATAGAAAGTGAATTTCTCTGTAAATTTCCACCCAAATCACAGTTAAAAAGAAAAAAAGAAACAAAACCCAGGTCATACCAAAGGGCAGAGGACTGTCTTTGCCCACATAAGAGTCTTGAATTCCTTCTCATTATGGGCAGGGGGCAGGTACTTATAGGAGGTAATTATGAATGGCAGTTTATAATCATGTTATGTTGAAGGGTTTAATAAAGCTGACCGTGGGAGCTAAGGGGTCAAAAGAACCAGGATGGGAAAATGGTCTTCCTCTGAAGTAGATCAGAAAAAATCCTTTCTCCCCAAAGTCCTCGGGAGACATCATCATGCATAAGCAGTCTTAAAATCTTGAACACAAGAGGAATTTAAGGCAGACGCCATTAGTATGTTACAGCTGTGGCGCCTAAGAATAACCAAAACAACAAAACCACATCGTGTGGTGTGCTGTGACATCACCTGCACTGTAAAACACTGGGAGCCAAACAGGGTGAGACCATTTTCTAAGTAAAACTTTAGTCAAGAAAATAGACCAGCTTGAGAGCGGGTATTAACGGCAGAGGTGACCAAATAAAGTGCTTGTGGATATGTACCATATAGATACGTATACGTGTGCCTGAGTATGTATGTATATATACATATATATATATGCACACATATATGTATAATGTGTGCTGTTGTTGTTAATGCTGCTGTTGTTATGTGCCATACAATCAGTTCTGACTCACAGCAACTCTAGTGCAGCATAGTACAATATAGCCCAGTCCTGCACCATCCTCACAACCGTCGTTTTGTTTTGAGTGCACGGTTGCTGCCACTGCATCAATCCACCTCATAGAGGGTCTTCCTCTTTTTTGCTGACCCTCTACTTTACCAAGCATGATGTCCTTCTCCAGGGATCGGTCCCTTCTGATAATGTGGCCACAGCATGTGAGATGAAGTTAGCTAGCCTCACGTCCAGGAAGCATTCTGGCTGTACTTCTTCCAGAAGAAATTTGACCCTTCTTTCAGCAGTCCATGGTATACTCAGTCTTCTTTGCCAACCCCATAATTCAAAGGCATCAGTCCTCCTTCTTTCTTCCTTATTCATTGTCCAGCTTTCACGTACATGTGAGGTGACTGAAAATACCATGGCTTGGGTCAGGTGCACATCAGTACTCAAATCTTTGCCTTTTTTCAAAAAAAAAAAACACTTTAAAGAGGTCTTTTGCAAGCAGATTTGCTTAATGAAATACATTGTTTGATTTCACGACTACTGCTTCCATGGCTGCTGACTGTATATCCAAGTAGAATTAAATCCTTGACCATTTCAGTATTTTCTCTGTTTATCATGATGTTGCTTTATTGGTCCTACTGTGAGGATTTTTGCTTTCTTTGTATTGAGATATAATCTGTATTGAAGGCTGTAGTCTTTGATTTTTATCAGTATTTGCTTCAAGTCATTTTCTCTTTCAGCAAGGAAAGTTGTATAATCTCTATCTCTCAGGTTGTTAATGAGTCTTCCTTCAATACTGATGCCAAATTATTCTCCATACAGTCCAGTTTCTTGGATTATTTGCTCCGCATACAGAATGAATAAGTATTCTGGCTGTGAAAGGATACAATCCTGAAGCATACCTTTCTTGATTTTAAACTATGCCATATCTCCTAGCTCTGTTTGAACCACTGCTTCTTGGTCTATAAGGTTGCACATGAGCACAATTGTTCTGGAATTCCCCGTTCCTTGCAATGTTATCCATAATTTGTTATAGTTCAAAGTCAAATGCCTTTGCATAATCAATAAAACGCAGGTAAACATCTTTCTGGTATTCTCTGCTTTCAGCCAATATCCATCTGACATTAGAATGATATCCCCGGTTCCATGTTCTTTTCTGAAACCATCTTGGATTTCTATCAATTCCCTGTTGATGTACTGCTACAACCATTTTTAAATTAACTTCAGCAAAATTTCACTTGCATGTGATATTAATGATTTTGTTTGATAATTTCCACATCCTGTTGGATCACCTCTTTGGAATGGGCACAAATATGGATCACTTCCAGTTGGTTGGCCATGTAGCTGTCTTCCAAATTTCTTAGCATAAACACTTGAGTGTCCAGTGTTGCATCTACTTATTGAAATATCTCAATTGATATTTTGCCAATTCCTAGAGGCTTGTTTTTGGCCAATGAATTCAGTGTAGCTTGGACTTCTTCCTTCAATATCATCAATTCTTGATCATATGCTACCTCTTGAAATGGCTGAACGTTGACCAATTCTTTTTGGTACAGTATACTCCTTCCATCTTCTTTTGATGCCTCCTGTGTCATTCAGTATTTTGCCCATAGGATCAATCTTTCAATATTCAACTTGAGGCTTGATTTTTTTTTTTCAATTCTTTCAGTTTGAGAAATGCCAAGCATGTCTTCCCTTTTGGTTTTCTAATTCCAGGTCTTTGCGTATTTCATTGTATTACTTTACTCTATCTTCTTGAGCAAATCTTTGAAATCTGTTCAGCTCTTTCATCATTTTTTCCATTTGCATTAGCTACTCTAATATTCAAGAGCAAATTGCAATCTCTTCTGACAATCCATTTTGATCTTTTCTTTCTTTCTTGTCTTTTTAATGTCCTTTTACTATTTTCATATATGATGTCCCTGATGTTATTCCACAACTTATCTTCAATCATGAGTGTTCAATGCATTAAATCTATTCTTTACTTTTTATTGTAATTTGAGTGAAAGTTTATAGAGCAAATTGGTTTTCCACTTAACAATTCATGCACATATTGTCTTGTGTCACTGATTGAGATTTCCACAGTGTAACAGCACTCTTCCCACTTCCTCCCTGTCTTTAACATTTCCCTTTATCCTTCTTTCCCATCTCTTTCTGCATTCTTAGGTTTACGCCTGGGCAAAGGCTGTCCTTTTGAGCCCCTACAGGTGACTATACTAATGAGTACGCACCTTCCTGGTATTACTGCTCACCTTATAGGCCTATCACTTGGCTGACAGTTGAGCCATGGGGGTGAGTTTAGTTCCAGGTTTACAGGGTGTGTAAGAGCCATAATATCGGGGGTTCCACCAGTCTTCATCAGACCAGTAAGTCTGGACTATTTTTTTAATTATTTTGAGTTTTGGCATTCTTCTCCCACTGTATCTGGGACCTCCTATTACAATCTCTTTCAGACCAGTTAGCAGTGGTAGCCAGGCACTATCTAGTTTTTCTGGTCTCAGGGTCCTGGAGGCTGGGGTTCACATAGTCCATCAGTCCTCTGGACTAATTGTCCCCTCGAGTCTTTGATTTTCTTTACTCTTCTTTGCTTTGGATGGAGATAGACTAATAGTTGTACCTTAGACAGCCAGTCAAATCTATTCTTGAGATAGTCTCTAAATTCAGGTGCATAGTTTATAGTATCACAATAACACGCAAGCCACCACAATACAATAAAATGTCAGACAAGTGGTAGGCATACACACATATACACACACATGGTGCCCTGGTAGTGCAGTGGTTAAAGTGCTCGGCTGCCAACTGAAAGGTCAGTGGTTTGAATCCATCAGCCACTCAGTGGAAGAAAGATGTGCCAGTCAGCTTCTGTAAAGATTTTCAGCCTTTGAAACCCCAGAGAGCTCTTTTACCCTGTCTTACAGGGTTGCTATGAGTTGGAAACAACTCAGCAGCACAGAACAATAATAATAACATGCATGGAAAAAAAGACTAACAAATGACACACCTAAACGTTATCATTAGTTACCGCCAGATGCTAAGAATATCAGTTTTATTTTATTCTTCACACTTTCCTGTCTTTCAAATTCTTTATAAAAACACATATTACTTTTACAATCAGGAAGGGCAGAAAGAAAATGGTTGCACATACTTCAACCTATTTCAGGAGGCTCAGGAGGCTAGGATCTCAGAGGCAATGGGGCACAGTAACGAGAGCTAGACACATCTGTGTTGGACTCCAGGCTCTGCCACTTTTTTTAGCCACTAACTCCTCAGTTTCTATTCCCCTAACTTAATATAAGGATAATAATTTCCATACCTCATAAGGGAGCTCTGGTAGCGTAGTGCCTAAGGCACTTGAATACTAAACCAGAAGGTTGGCAGTTCAAACCCACCAGCCACTCCTCGGAAGGAGGATGGGGCAATCTACTTCCATAGTGATACTGCCTTGGAAACCCAAGGAGGGGTCGCTATGAGTCAGGTCTGACTCGACGGCACATAACAACAACAACAACAACAACATACCTCATAAGGCCATGGTGAGGATAAAAGAATACAACAAATGTCAGATGTTAAGCACAGTGCCTAACACACAGTAGATGCTCAGGAATTGGGAGCTGTTGCCATTATTATAGATTTATAATGAGGGTTAAGTGACATAACCTATATAAGTCATTTAGCAGGATGCCTGGGACAGAGCAAAGCTCAGAAAACTTTAGTTTCCCAGGGCTCATATCTGGTCTTTCTTTCCTGTGCAGACCTCGAGACTAGTGGTATCAGTAAGCTTTCAGATCCACCAAATCTAAGCTAGTCACTTTTGTAGGAACAAAGTTACTTTGAGTGTCACGCCATCACGCCACGTGCCAGCAAAACCTAGATTAGGCAGGTAAGGGCAGAACCAAGCTGAAGGTCCGTGAGGTCAGAGCTACCTGTATGGGTTGTGGCAGTTCAGTTTCCACCCAAGCCCTAAAGTTAGTCCCTTCCAGCACTGACCAGGGCATTGCCCAGAGTGCAATGCCCTCTTCCCGCACTCTTAACTCCTGTTCCTCCTACCTCCTGCTCCATCCGCCACTGGCTCTCCTTCCTCATTAGTTCATCCCGGGCTCGGCTCCAGTCTACTGTCAATTTTTCCACATCTTCCCGAAGGGCTTTATTCACCACATCAGCTTTCTCCACGTGCAGCCGAAGCTGAGTGTTCACCTCTGCTAGACTTTCACACCTGCACTGGGAAGGGGTGGGAGCAAGTGCAAGATAAAAGTCTGGTCCAACCCTTGGACCTCTTGGAGTAAGATGACAACCGGTGGAATTTTCCACTGCCAGGAATTAAAGGCTAAGGCTGAAGACCGTCGTTCTAATCCACGTTAGCCTTCAGGGCAGAGGTTTCCCACCAGTCTTGTCCACCCACTGGCCAATCACCCAAGCCCAGGAATCTGGGGTCCATCACCTCTGTTGCTCATCCTCCAATCGGATTAGCAGCTGTTCCAGGTTTGGTTCCTCCACACTTTCCCACCTCTGAGGGATTGGTCCCTTGGTCAGACAGAGATAAGCTTTATTTACCTTAGACCAACTCCCTGCTGTCCCTTCAACACCAGCCTAACCTCTTTTAATTTTCTCTCCCCCTTGTTAGCAATATTCTCCTTTTCTCAATCACTGTATCCTGAAAGCAAATCTACTGCATTTCTCTTTCCCAAAGTAAACAGTGACCCCCTTCTGAAAGATAGCATTTGGTAATGAAAAGAACATTCAACCTAAGAATCATCTCCCTTTCACTAATGGCCTTGGAAGATTATTTAACTTTTCATAGTATCTTCAGCTACAAAATGAAGGTGATGGCATTTTCCTCAGAAAGCTGCTTTGTAGATTAAGGGACATAACTATATGACAATGCCTAATGGTGCCTGGTCTATTCATAGAAAATGCTCAATACATTTTGTTCTTTTTCTTTCTCTGAAAGAACTTTCTGAGGGGAATGGGAGCTGGTGCAAAGAGGGAGCTGGAACAAAGACAGAACCTGGGTTTTCAAAGCCAGTTCTGCCCAATCAACAACAGAAATAAATCCTTAGGCCACAAACATGGTTACAGGCCCCCAAAGAAACACCTCTCTCTAAGACAGATGAACACTGACACCTGGTGGAAGAAAAATGTATTTCTTCTACTTCCGTATTTTTTTCCAATCTGAGTCCCTGCGTGGTGCAAATGATTAATGAGCACAGCTGCTAACCAAAAGGTTAGTGGTTCAAGTCTGCTCAGAGCAGCCTCGGAAGAAAGGTTTGGCAATCCACTTCTGAATCCCCACTGAAAACTCCAGGGAGCACAACTCTGACACACAGGGGGTTGCCATGAGATGGAATCAACTCGAAGGCAAATGTTCTTTCCCAATTTTATTAAGTTTCCTGAAACTGAATCTTATCCTTAGAGAGCAAAGGGTTGGAATGTGACATGCTGAGAACAGCTAGATCCAATGAAGATAGCTGTGTGATAAAGCTCGCAAGGACTGAAGAAAGAGTGACATCTACCAAATACCCTCTCATCGAACCCCAGCCTCCTTCAGTCAGCAAATGAAATCAAACAAGCATATTCACTGAGGTCTCACGGGAGCACAGAACTTAGCCTCACTCACCCCAGTGGCTTCCAGCCGCTTCTCCAGCTCTTGGCACCAGTTCCTGTACTGCAACACCTGTGGCAAATTAGAGCAGGTCCTGGGTAATGGGGACAGCTGGCGTGAACAGTCAGTCCATACCAAAGAAACCCAACCCCATCACCCTTCCCCCAGGATCGAACCTATTGGGGATAGGGGAACTGGATGACGAGTGAGGGAAAGCCATAGCATCTTATAGCTTCTTCTTGGGCATTTAAATAATACTTCTAAATGCCTTTTATATCCGCTTTGGAACCAGAATACTCAGGTTCAGGTTTTAGCTCTCGACTAGGAAAGCACATGTAAACAACTAACTCAACCCTCGCAGTCTCATCTTTAAAAGGGACGTAATAGATAGCTCATGGGGTAGTTGGAAGCATCAAAGGAGAAGTTGAATATGAAATATGAAAGGTCTGGACTCCATTCCCACCACGTGACTCTGCCTCCAGCAACCCTTATCCCCACTTGGCACCTAGCTCTGTGGGGCACTCTTCTCTCTCCCTCTCAGAAAATGCAGCTGTCTCACCTTGGCCTGCAGCTTCCTCACGAGGGTTGCTTGCCTCTGCTGGGCCTCCTGGGAGCTCTTCAGCTTTCGCCAGGAGGCTGCCTGGTTCTCTGCCATCTGCTGTTGAAGTGCCAGCACTTGCCCCTCCAGCACCAACTGCAGTGACTGGGGCTTCATGCTGTTCAAGCCAGGGCCTCCTGTCTCCATGGGCACCAGACAGTAAGGCCACACGCCCCGAGGCAGCCAGAGGCTGCTCACTCCCAGCAGTCTCTAAACATTGCTGTGCTACTTCGACAGCCTTTTGAGCTGGGGACCAAAACACACAGCAGAATTGAAAGGACCACTTAGGTGACTATGACTCAAATGTACTCAACACACACTCACGAAGCTTGGCAAAGCTGGGTTAGAGAGAGTAAACAGGCTCCTTTACAACAGCACTCTTCAGAACCTTTAAAATACTCATAGTCTTCAACATAAGGAGCTCTGGTGGTGTAGTGGTTAAGGCATTTGGTTGCTAACCAAAAAGTCAGTGGTTTGAACCCACCAGATGCTCTGCAGCAGAAAGACAAGGTGGTCTGCTTCTGTAAAGATCGACAGCCTTTGAAACCCAATGGGCATCACTATGAGATGGATTGACACGGTGGCTGTGATGATGGGCTCAAGTATAGCAGGGATTGTGGGGCTGGCGCGGGATCGGGCAGTGTTTCGTTCTGCTGTGCATGGGGTCGCTATGAGTCGGAAACGACTTGACGGCACTTAACAACAACAACAACAACAACATGAGTTAGAAATTGACTCTATGGCAGTATTTTTACTCTTTAATATGGACGCTATGAGTCAGAATCGATTCAAGGACAATAGGTTTTGGTTGATCTCTTAAGGAAGCCTGGGTGATATAAATGGTTACAATGCTTGGCTGCTAAATGAAAGGCTAGAGGCTCGAGTTCGCCCAGAGACGCTTCAGAAGACAGGCCCGGTGATCTACTTGCAGAACATCAGCCACTGAACAGTCTATGGAGCACAGTTCCACTCCGACACACTTACAGTCACTGTGAGTCAGAACTGACTCGATGGCACCTGGTTTACTGGTAATCTCTAAGAAGGGGCTGTGATCAGCAGCATCTCCCAAATTATTTGACCATAAGACAAGGTCCACACTAGACCGAGAGCTCCTAGTTCACCACTGCACCCCTAGTGTCTAGCACAAATGACAAACATTTGTCAAAAGAAACATTGAAGATGCTCTTACTCTCTCAGGGGAGACAGATACAAACAATCACAGTACAGTGTGGTATGTGCAAAAATAACAGAGACATCACAGGAGCATACAGAAACACTAAGGAAGGGCAAAGAGGCCCTGGAGGCTGTGTGGTTAAAGCTCTTGGCTACTAACCAAAAGGTTAGCAGTTCAAACCCCCCAGCAACTCCCCAGGAGAAAGATATGGCAGCCTGCTTCCGTGAAGATTACAGTCTTAGAAACCCTATGGGGCAGTTCTTCTCTATGAGTGGGAATCAGCAATGGTAAGGAAGGGCACTTAGCCCAGTCTGGGGGGCTGTGAGCTGTGTGAATCACAATCATCATAGTTAATACTTGCTGAGTGCTTCTATGGGTCAGTCACTTTGTTAGGTACTTTACATGCATTATGTCATTTAGTTAGTACAAGAATCTTGGAAGCTTCCAGTGCCTTTTCATCACACTTCAGGTTAAGTGTTACTACAATTCTTGACATATAGAGGAGGAAACCGAGGCTTAGAAAGGTTAAAATCAACTTGTTCCAGGTCACACGCTGGTATGTGGTATATCGTGAATTTGAACACAAGCAGTCTGACTCTCTGACAAAAAGCAGTGACAGACAGGCATTCCAGGCAGGGGACCCAAATGAGAGGGAAGAAAGAACCCACTGTAGCAGGATGACAAACTCTCCTGACCCACCAAGAGGTGAGCCACACAGGACAATGGGCCATAGGCAGGCAGGGGAGGCCAGCCTAACCTGGGAGATGGGGAGGCACAGTGATAAGGAAGAGTTTTTTTTTTTTATTAGGATTTGGGTGAAGATTTATTTACAAAGTAAATTCACTTTTCATACAGCAGTTCACATATACTTTGTCTCATGTCATTGTCCAAAATTTACAATGCAGCAGCTCCCCTCCCACTTCTTCCCCATAGTTACCTCCTCCCAGTGTCCATCCCTTCATACTCTTCTGCACCCTGAGCTATCTCCCTGTGCATAAGCAGCCCTTCCTTCTCCCATGATTGTTCTCTCCAGGGCGTGGTGTCTACTTGAGGTAAATGTTTAACTCACATGCCTGTACTTTGTTTGGCTGGAAACCACAGTTGTGGGTTCAATTCCAGACCTGAAGGGCAGCTAGGGGCCATAGTCTCAGTGGTCACACCAGGCTCTATTGGACCAGCAAACCTGGTCCCCAATAAGGAAGAGTTTTGAGCGCTCATTCAAGTTCTGCCTCTAATGGGCTCTGTGACCTCAGGCATGTCACTTCCCTTTCACTCCTCATCCAAAAATGAGGCACGCAGCTACATGACCTCTGAGTCTCTCAGATCTCTAAATCCCATGATAATCCTATAATAACAGGTGGGAAATAGGACAGGTTAGAGTTTTCTCATTTTATTAGCCCTGAGACTCTCATCATCAGGGTTAAGTAAAGTCTATACTTCCAACCCCCTACGCAGAGACTGTTATACACAGTAAATGCAAATCTAACATTTGCACACACCAGAGGGAGCTTCAGGGGCCCCAAATCCTTTAATGCACAAAACTGCTGATCTTCTATATCCTGGCTCAAGTGCCCCTCCTGTATGCTCTCCCAGATGTGTCTGGAAGAGTTCATCACTTCTGTGTCCTACATGATACTGTGTCATGGACAATGCAGAATGAAAAGTTGTGTGTAGGTCTCACTCCTGGCAGATATGAACCCTTGGCCAGAGGTTATAAATCAGTGGCCTGCAGGCTCTTTTCTTTTCTTTCTTTGTGCTTTGGGTGAAAATTTACAAAGCAAATTTGTTTTATATTCACCAGTTCATGCACATTTGATTCCATAGCCCCATTACCATCCTCAACCATAAAAACCTCTCCTGCCTTCTCCTCCCTGTGACTACCCACCCCCCGCCCGGTGCCCTTAACTATGCTCTCCTGTCTGTCCAGCTTTCCCTCTATGTGCATGCTGCCCCTCTTGTGTCTCATGGCTAACTGATCCAAGGGGTCCACCTCCCTAGAGCAGGTGGGTGCATCTCCCTGGGGTAGGTGTTCTGCAGGTAGGTCTTTCTACTGTTCAGCTGAGAGCCAGCCCTGGAAGTGAGTCCATTTCTAGGCCCAAAGGTTAAGCTGGGGCCATAGTCTCAGGGGTTTCACCAGTCTCTACCCAACGAGTAATTCTGGTCATTTTTGTGTTTTTGAATTTTGTTCCATATTTTTCCTCCCACTCTATCCAGCATCTCCAGTTTTGTTCCCCTTCTGAGTGGCTGGCATTGGTAGCTGGGTACCATCTAGTTCTTCTGGTCTCAGGGTCATGAGGCTGAGGTCCTCACGGTCCATCTTATCTTTGGACTAATTGTTTCCAGATGACTTTGATTTTCTTTACTCCTCTTTGCTCCAGACCAGAGGAGACCGATAGTTGTGCTTAGATGGCCGCTGGACAGCTTTTTAAGACCCCAGTCGCTAGTCACCAAGGTAGGTCTGCAGGCTTTTTCAACTATCGTGTGGCCCACACAATGGCTTGTAAAAATTCAAACTAAGTGCCAACATTTCCTATTGGGAGAATTCATAGAAAAACCCAAATCTCTGGCTCACCCACCACCTATTCTCCCCCTCACAATGATATCAGACTTCCATCAATTATCATCACACTTGTGCTATTGTTTTCTCGTAAGATTTACAGAATAATCAACTATATGAGACCAAAAGTGCAACATCTGCTATATGAGATCAACAAGTGCAACCAAGGATGAGATGGCAGGAGGGGACAGGAAAGCCAGATGAATAGAAATGAGGAACTCAGGGAGGAAAAGAGGAAAGTGCTGCCACGTTGTAGGGATTGCAACAAATGGCACAGAACAATTTGTGTATGAATTATTGATTAGAAAACTAATTTGTTATGTAAACTTTTACCTACAGCACAATAAAATGTTCAAAAAAAAAGAAAAGTTACAGAGGAGGCTTCACTTTTCTCATTTATGTTGTCTGCTGGGCAAACAAAGATAGCTGAGTTTGCAGAGCCTATGTTAGTAGTAGGGAAAGTGAATAAAGTAGGAAGAGGAAAGTGACACCAGTAAAGGCTTGATGGAACCAACACCCACCTGCCTCTTCCAAGCCTCTAACCCAGGGTAATACAGCCTTCTCCCACACTCCTAACATCCTCCTTTTCTGCCCTTCCCTTCCACCGAGGCTGTATCAACCAGTTCACCATGGCTCTGTGAAATGCTGGCTCTGCTGAATTAAATGGAGCTCAATCCCTCTTTGCCAGCTAGAGACATAAACCTCCCAGGAAAACTGCTCTGTATCCCAGGATTTCTGCCAACACTCTACCAATAATGGTAGATCTCAATTTCTCCAAGGGAAGTGAGTAGTCTTTTCTCTCCTAATTCCATGAGGGTCAAGTCAGGATTTTGCACACACAGTGGGAGTTTCAGGAGTCTAAAGGCCGCCTCAAGGAGCCCTGGGGGTGCAATGGTTAAGTGCTTGAGTGCTAACCAGCAAGGCTGGCGGTTCAAACTCACCCAGCTGACAATCTCCCTTAAAGATCACATGAGGTCACTGTAAGTCGAAATGGACTTGATGGCACCTAACAATAACAATTTGGGACAGCTCTGGTAGCATAGTGCCTAAGGTTCAAACCCACCAGCCACTCCTCTGAAGGAAGATGAGGCAATCTACTTCCGTAGTGATACTGCCTCAGGAAACCCAAGGAGGGGTCGCTATGAGTCGGGTCTGATTCAACGGCACATAACAACAACAACAACAACAACAATAACAAAGGACTTCTCATGCTCCATTGACTTCTTACCCCCAAATACTAGGTTGAGCCAAGTGAAATTGCCAATATTTACCCATACTTTCACCTACAAAAATGACAATCTCATGTAGATAAATCTAGTATCTCCATAAGCAGCCCTGCCATAGTTCACAGAATTCTCCTATCAAATCCTCTTTTAGAATAAGGCTGCTGTTAACATGCACACATTATTTGGGAAAGTGATAATAAATTAGTAATACTCTAGCAGAAAAAAATGGAAGTATATTAGAATACCATGATTTTACTTTAGCAGATAATTTAAATTTTTTAATATTTTCATATATATATATATATATATATATATATATATGCATGCCCCACTTATCTCAAAAAGTGACTTGAAATTGTAACAAATGTACCATGCTAATGTAAAATGATGATAAAACAGGAAGCTGAATGGAGGGTATATGGAAACTCTCTGTACAATGTAAATCTAAAACTATTCTACAAAATAAGTTTATTTTTTAAAATGATTGAAGTGTTTTACGATTGTTGTTGTTGTCAGGTATCGAAAAGTCGATTTTAGACTCATAATGACCCTATATGACAGAGCAGAACTGTCCCCATAGGGTTTTCTAGGCTGGAGTCTTTATAGAGCAAATCACCAGGTCTTCTTCGTAGGGTCAAACCACTAATCCTTCGGTTACCAGCTGAGAGCTTAACTGTTGTGCCATCTTGGTTTATGATTAAAACCTCCAAAAATCCTCATAAGCTATAAAACTGCAAATTACCTAAAACAAGAAGAAAAAGATGGAGGGGACAGAGAAAAACTATATCAAGAATCTTTCTGAAATTGAGATTTACCTCTGAGGTTCCTCAAGATGTAGTATGGAAAAAGAGTTTGCTCTGTAAACTTCCACCCAAATCACAATAAAAATTAAAAAAAAAAAAAAAAAGATGCAGTTCCACACCCTGTTATTAACACACTGTGAGGTCCACCAGGGAATAAACCAGCAGAGTTCCAAAGGAAAGGTAGGTTTCCATGTTCCTCGGGGAAAAGGAAAAGGCCAGTAGCTGGCAAATGGTTAACAGACACTGGGTTTGATTCAAATGAGATAATTAATGGGCATCAGTGTACTTTGTAAGCTGTGCTAAATAGATGCTATCATTAATGCAGGAACAGGGAAAGGATTTATTTCTTTTATACACAAATTTATCTGATAGACATTCATGAAGTCCAACCCAATATCAGGCACTCTCCCACAGTAGTATTGAAATGAACAAGACCTACTTCCTAATGTTGTTAAAATCAGACTGAAAAGGTCAAGAACCTTCCTAAAGACCAAGGGCCACCTCTGAACATAGACTAGGAAATAACAGAAGAGTGATACAAATTATGTAGTTAGTTCCCCCTCATCCAAAATACTCCAAAAAGAATATTTAAATTAAAAATATTCAAAGTTAAAAACAGCAATGACATCACTTAAACTTGGAGTAGAGGTGTAAAGGTTACCAAGACCAAGGCAGGGACAGGTATTACTAAATATAATTTATCACTTAAAGCAAAAAGGTGGGGGGGGGGGCGGATGACACTCAAAGGCACAGACATTTTATTCTCTGAGCAAAGAAACCATATATATTTGTCTGAAGATATAATTTGTTTGAATTGTATTTCATAAAAATAATAATTTAAAAATACAGCACGAAGCTCCTTATATAAATCTGCTTCTCCTTTGGAGCTTGGCTAGTTCATTCCCTGGCTGATGTGACAGTGTGTTAACAAAAGAGGGCTCTCTCTCTTGGTTTTCTTCTCCCACGGGGTCCTTTGCTGGCTCCTCCTCACCTCCCCAACCTCTGAACGATGGAGGCCCCAGGGCTCGCATCTCCTACTCCTCTCCTCTCCATCGACACTCATTTCCTAGGAAATCTCACCCAATTTCACGACTTAAGATGGCACCTAGGTCTGCTGTCCAGGCCTCGCTGACTGCACGCTCCTGCTGTTACTGTTAGCTGCTGTTGTCGAGTGGATTTGGACTCAGGGCAACCCCAGGTGACAGAGCAGAACTGTTCCATAGGGTTTTCTTGGCTGTGATCTTTATGGGAGCAGGTTGCCAAGTCTTTCTCCCACAGACCTGCTGGGTGAGTTTGAACTGCCAACTTTTTCCTCAGCAGCTGAGCGCTTAACCATTGTGCCGCCAGGACTCCTTCACATTCCTGCACTAAGTCCAAATAGCTATTTCACTTGTCCACGTGTGGAAATGACATCTCCAGCTTAATTTATCTCAATGAGTTTCTGCTCATTGAGCTTTATCTCAATGAACTTCTGCACATACAAGTGTTGCCACCTCAGTAATGGTAATACCACCTTGACTGTTACTCAAGCCAAAAGCCTTACAATCATATTCTATTCTCCCACACCCTAGAACCAATCAGCAAATCTCCTGCTGGCTCTGCCTACAAACACTTCCAGTTTCTATCATTTCCAACCCCTTACCACCACCATTCTGAGCCAAGTCACCCTCTCTTGCCTGACATGGAGGCTTTACTTTATGCCCTTAAATTCTTTGATATACCTCCCTTCAAAGCAGATCCTAATTCTCTCTCCTTAACTTTAACCCTGGGTGGTGCAAATGGTTAACTGACTCAGCTGCTGATTAAAAGGTTGGTGGTCTGAGTCCACTCAGAGGCACCTCAGAAGAAAGGCCTGGCAATCTGTTGTTGTTGTTGTTAGATGCCGTCAAGTCGTCTCTGACTCATAGCAACCCTGTGCACAGCAGAATGAAACACTGCCCGGTCCCACACCAGCTCCACGATCCCTGGCAATCTACATCCCCAAAATCAGTCATCAAAAATCCTGTGGAGCACAGTTCTACTGTGACACACACGAGGCTGCCATGAGTTGAGATCAACAGCAACTAGTTAGGTTCTAAAAATAAAGTGGAAATGACTTGTAAGACAAGGTGATAAAAGGACTACTGCCCCCTGCTCTGTCTCTCCCTATCTCTCTGATCACTTGCTCTGGGGGAAGCCAGCTGCAGATCCTGAGGACACTCAGGCATCCCTGTGGAAAGGCCCAGTTGCAAGGAGCTGTGGCCTCCTGCCAACAGCCCTGTGAATGAGCCATTTCGGAAGCAGATCTTCCAGCCCCAGTTGAAGCCTCCAGATCACCTCAGCCCCCGGTGTCAGCATGAGTACAACTTCAGGAGCAATCCTACGCCAGAAGCACCCAGCTAAAGTGCTCCTGGAATCCTGACCCACACACACTGTATGAGATAATAAATGTCTGTTGTTTTAAGTTGCCAAATTTTAAGATAATTTCTTGAACAGCAATGGATAATACTACTGGATTACTTCAAAAGCTTCCTAACTATCTTCTATGCTCCCACCTTTGTTTCCTAATTTTGTTTCTCAACAGAAGAGCCAGAGTGATTCTTTTATAACATGAGACACATTGTGCCACTCAAAACCCTCCAACAGGCTACTCGAGTGAAAGCCAAAATCTTATTATGACCTAGAGAGATAGATAGCTTCTGTCACAGTCGAGGTAACTCCTAGTCATAAGTCATGGCAACCTTATGTACAACAGAACTAAACACTGCCTGGTTCTGCATCCTCCTCAGCTGCCGACACGTTCTAACCCACTGTTGAGTACCGTGCTAATCCCTCTCACAGAGAGTCTCCCTAGCCCTCACTGGTCCCCCATTTCACCAAACACAATGTTCTCCTCTAGCAACCGATCCTTCCTGCTGCTGTGTTCAGGAGCCCTGGTGATACAGTGGTTGGTGGGAGAAAGATGTAGGAAACTGCCCTACAGGGTCATTATGAGTTGGAATCAACTCAGTGGCAATACGTTTGTTGCTTTCTCTCTCTCTTTTATTGGATATTGTGTCTGAAGCAAGCAAGCTGGACTCTATTCTGATCTGCTCCACAAGGTTTTCATTGGCTCATTTTTGGAAGTAGATCTCCAGGCTTTCTTTCTAGTCTGTCTTGGTCTGGAAGCTCCACTGAACCCTGTCCCCCATGGGTGACCCTGCTGGTATTTGAAATACCAGTGGAATAGCTTCCATGATCACAGCAACACACAAGCCACTACAGTTCAACACACGGATGGGTGGGTGGTGATCAAGAGCGCTGGCAGTGCAACAGTTAAGCACTCCCCGCTATTTGAAAGGCTGGCTGTCAGAATCCAGCCGCTCCTCGGGAGAAAGATGTGGAAATCTACTTCTGTAAAAATTACAGCCTACAAAGGTCCCAGGGTGGTGTAGACAGTCCATGCTCGGTTGGTTACCCAAAGGTTGCTGGCTGGAACCAACCCAGCAGTACCATGGAAGATCAGGCCTGGCGGTCAGCTCCTGTAAAGATTGGAGTCTCTCCAAAGGAACACATAAAGAAACAAATGCCTCAAGATTACAGCCTACAAAACCCTATGGGGGCACTTCCACTCTGTCACATGGAGTCGCCAGGAGTCAAAATCAGCTCAACGGCACCTAACAGCACAATGGCCGACAGAGTCCTAATCATTTGATCCCAGTGTTCAACTGTTTGAATTCCATTTCCTA